AATTAATAAAAAATTTCACATTGAGAAAATTCAGCTGCCTTGGCGGAGGTCAGTAGCTGTGCTCTCCGAGTGCTTTAGTATATAACTATCTTCGTTGACACTCACATTTCGCTTCGTTTCGCCGCGTGAGGTTACTGCTCTTAATTTAATATTGATTTCCGGCAGGTAATTATAGTAACATGATATGAATAAATAACACTATTACAGTAGACAGCACGACACTGTGCTGTATAAAAACCTGTGTGAAGTATACTAATGTACTTTTCGTCAAATGTCCCTACGCCTATAATCTACTCCTTTCCAACTATACGGCAAACTGCAGGACTGGCGTGATTTTCGAAGCTTAACATAATATAATATGTAAGTGTAACGTGTAATATAAATGGCAGTGTTTCTGTCGATGTATAGGGCATGTTACTCGCAGCCTGAGGAGCTGAATAACCGTCATTAGTTCTTCTCGTTATTCATGATAACTCGCGTAACTTTCTTCTAATAGCACGTAATACGTTTTACGCGGGTAGCAGGACGACGTATTTATAGTCAGCACCGATTAATACCGCCTGTATCTGAAGAAGTTTCACAGTCATTAAGCGAAAGATTGATTTTTTGAGATAGTGAAATTGCGTGGGATTAGCGAGCACGTTAATAAAACGTCCATCAGTAATTTGCTCACGCCAGTTCCTCTGTGAAGTGATGCCATTGAAATGTCTAATTGATATGGCTATCAAAGTTACATTTGTCTTGATTCAGTTATTAGACTGACACAGAATATTTGCATTCTGATTCGATTCCGTTTTGCAAGAGATATATGCGACTAGGTGCAAGAGTGTCTTGATATGCCTATAGTACTGGTTACCACTATAGACTAACATCAGTAGAGCACGCCCACAAGTCAACAGTGGTAATGACACAGTATAATTAAATAGTGATTCACATTGACGCATACTTAAAACGTTCCAACTGTATACACGTACGACAATAAAATAATGCATTAAGATTAATATAAAGACGTAAATCGTCAATAGAAAATATGACGGTAATTTCTTTACCTAATACATTGAAAACGCTGCTTTGCCAGGAAGAATAATGGGATAAATTGTGTTTGCGTTTCCCAGTTTAAAAAAACGAAACTTGTAAGTGAAGACCAAGTAAACATACCTTATTCGATGGTTGCGAGCAATATTTCGTTTTGGGGCCACGGTCATACATGGGTATGCCTTTGAATTTGCACGAACCTACACAGATATTGATAACGACATGTAAACACGTTAGTTTTAGACGTTTTCCGATACTGTAATGTGCCGATTTATATACAGTTTTTTTTATTAAAGCCACATACCAATTTATCATTATTGAAAACTTGAACAAATCCGATTTATGATCTACGTTGGCCACTTGTTTGCATGGTGATAGATAGAAATATAGATAGATAGATATATAGATAAATAGATAGATAGATAGATAGATAGCTCTCTTATATATATATATATATATATATATATATATAATATATGATTTACTAGTATTCTACTCTATTTGGCTTAGGGTTGTGCATGTGTGACATCAGGTCAGGCTGCAAGGTATGTGGCCACCGATCTTTAGTGTGTGGTGGCGAAATTAATCAGCGTGGAAAGACGCAATTGACAGATTTTTAATTCCAGTTACTTCAATTCCATTTGGGTGACGCATGAAAATGCGTGTGGATATCTGAGTGGCACGGGATATATGAACAATCGTGTGAGTCGCAAACGGACTTTTTGCGAGACAGTCGGCATGACCGTCCATATTCCTTTATTTTGGACTTTTTTCCTAT